TATATATGAATATATAAAAAATATATCAAAATGCGTGTGGGTACTCAAATGAAAGCTCTTGATGAGTGTAACATCAAGATGAGCTTATATCTTTAAAAACATCAATATTTAAAAAAGTACAGTGCAATTTAACAAAAGTAATTATTTAATATGCTAAAATAAAAGAATTACCTGTGCAATGAGGACAACATTCACCAGGTTCGTGAACAATCCTCGACAGAGGACAATGTTGTACCGGACAGGCTTGTTTGGCGCAAGTAAGTCGCCCGAAATTGCACCTGCAGGTAACACACGGGTCCTCGGTGGTGGTAACTGTTCGATCGGCCGTCACCTTTTGCCCATTAACGAAGCATCCCGAACAGGTTGGACAGCACTGACCCGCTGCCGGTGGCACTGGATTTTTGCACGGCGTATAGCACCTCAATTTCGACTCTGTTATCACGCCGGCTTTGCACGCTAAAATTCGACACGGATCGCTCGGCTCCGTCCACTCTGTCCCCGATGCATGGTGCACTCCGTTTCTCACGCATCCTGAAATTTTATTAATTAACGCTAATATTTATTATGTTAATAAATATCACCGCGTTTTAATTAAAGCACTCTAAAGTCAACAAATCTTATCGGCGTATTTTTTCCGCTCAGAGGAGATATATTTGTTAGAGAATAATAATAAGAAAGAACAAGAAAAACATTGTGATTAATAAAGTGAAAAATAATACTGCGATGGCCTTTGTGCTCAATTTAAAACAATCGTAAGGAAAATTTTGTTCACGTGGATAATTATTTTATTTATTTATTTAAAGTTTAGGGACTAACCTTTGCAGCGATGACAGCATTCGTCATCATGTCGCTCTATTAAAGTGTAACAGCCTTCTATGCTTGGACACTGCTGTTGTAAACACTCGACAAATCCATTCTAAAAAAAAAACACATGTGTAATTATTTATAAAATTTTTAAAAAGGAGTTTTTTTGTTTATTTAAAAGTAAATGGTATTGTTTTTAAATTCTTGAACAAAAATAAATTTTAATTAATAAGGAAGTAAATCAGAGTGTGAAATTACTTGGAAAATTAAAGTGTCAAAGGGATTCCCCAGTGTGTCAGTATACTATTTTCAGTAGTATAAATATATCCTTGGTATTAACATGACCCGTATTTTTTTGACAAGAAATTTCACTTACTAAATTAATTCTCTTGATTTAAAAAATACGGATCTTGATCCAAGAAAATTTATTTAATTATTTCTTTTATTATTAATATATCTTTTAATGTATTAGAATGCTCAAAAAAATTTCATCTAGTAGATTAATGAATGATGAATGAATATTTGAGGAAAATTAATAATTATTAATTTTTTTCTCAAAAATCTATCGACGGTCTAATTAGCAATTTAACTTCTTATTTTTTAGAGGGTGATTTTTTAATATTTTGATGTAGCAATAGACCAATTATAAATTATTTTAATGATCCAAACCAAAATATTATACCTTTAGTAGATATTAAATGGTTTTTTAAAGTGACAATTAATTTTTATCTAATTGTTCTTTCGTACAAATGGAAGATTCTATAAAATGGAGTTAGACAATTTGTTGCACAGAAAAAAAGGTTCACTTTAGAGAAATTAATGACAGAAGACTTTCTAAAGAGCGTTAAAAAATTATTTTTAATTTAGAACTAAATATCTTAGAATTAACTATCCACTAGTGAGAATATTTAGCGACCATGTGCCACCTGTTGGATTTTTCTGGAACTAATTTTTTTTTTTAAAGTTATATATATATATATATATATATACAGAAAAAAAGGTTCACTTGAGACGAGAAAATATTTTTCTTCCTAATTATTTTCTTGAGCGAAAAAAAAATTTCACTAATTCCAAAATTAATTCTCTTGCTTTAAGAAATACGTATCTTGATCCAAGAAAATTTATTTAAGTCAAAAAAATGTTGTTTTGAGAAAATTCAGCCTCGAGCTCCAAAAAATTTAGTTCTTGATATAGAAGTTAATTTTCTTGTCTTGAGAAAATTTCTCTCTTGCTTCAAAAAATTAAATATAAAGATAGAAGTAAATATTGATTAAACTAACTAAAATTGATGAATGATGCACAATACAATATTAGTGATCAGTTGATCCCGATGTTTAATAATAACAAATAATTATGTCACAGCCGGCGAGTGTAGAAATGAAAACAAGTGATTGGACCGTCATGAATATAAGTAACAAGTGTTGGGATGTATTTAATATTTAGATGTACTTATTATTCACATAGATACAGATAAACATGTTATATTAATATAAACATATTATATTAAATATTTAACTGATGTGTGGAGTGACGATGACGAGTCAATGAACCAAGCTGGGTCAGATAAGTAGACGATGAGAATGTTCCATTATAAATGTACTATTGATCATTCTCACTCTGATTGTCATCAAACAATCTCATTTACTATTAAATACTCTTTACACTTTCTATTTATTACATACAGAGTATATGTTAATAATAATAAATATATTATTTTCATACTTTGTTTTTACCTTGCAGATGCAACTGAAACATCTCGTGTTAGGTATCTTGTCAACCGTGAAATCTTCCCCCTCAATATCACAAGTTTCTCGGCTGCCTAAAAAATAAATATAAAAAATTATTTATCACCAGTGTTAAGAAAGTTTCCAAGCGAGAAACAATAAACAGAGTGGTATGCATCATTAAAATCATCGAGTGTATACCTTATGTACCGCTTGTTGTTTTACAATCACCTGCTAGCCTACTCAATTATAATTTTAATTCCCATCGTTAATTTACCTCCAGTCTTAGCTACAATTCCTCTCCGGTTATTTTATTGTGTTTCATAATCGCTATTTTTTATTACTCTTCATTATTCACACTAATATCCATTGCAAAAAATATTTTAATACTAAAATTTTAATTAAAAATTATTTTATTGTAATTAAAAATTAAAAATTCTTTTAAAAAATTTTAATAATTTAAAAAAAAAATTAAAACATCATAAATGATAATAAAATTTTTAAAATATTCGCATCAGTTGGTACAGCGACACCAGTAAAGTGTGTGTCAAGGCGCATGTAGGTACATGCAAATTCGCACTCTCTTATCTATTTAACGCTATCCAGTCTATCGAAGCAAATAGTTGTTACTTAAGAATCTAATACGCACATGTATACACGCGACCATTGATACGGGATACAAATAGACAACAAATGTACATACATATGATACTAAATAAAATAAAATGTATAGTTGTCAGTTAAATCAGGTCTTGATGGCCTACCGCGAGGTGTCATAATAATAATTATTATTATTGTAGAAAAAAAGAGGGGAGTGCAAGAGAATGTTAGAGTAAAAACTAAACAATAACAATATCAATAGAGATTTTAATTAAAAGTTTATTAACTGTTAATAAGTAATTTATTAAGTACAATTTAATAATTGTTAATAAATCATTTTATCAGTGTAACTTTTACAAAATTTATTTCAATACTTAATTTATAAAAGTTAACTCTCTGATAGTGAGAAGATTCAGCGGCCATGCGCCACCTGTTGGAATTTTCCAAAACTATTTATTAAAAATTAATAAATTAAATTATTAATAGTTAATAAATCCTTCTATTAGAGTAACTTTTACAAAATTTATTTCAATACTTAATTCATAAAAGTTAACTCTCTTGTAGCGAGAAGATTTAGCGGCCATGCGCCACCTGTTGGAATTTTCCAAAACTATATAGGATTTTTTTATATTTAATAATTATTAACAGTTAATAAATTATTTATTAAATTTTATAATTAAATAATTTTATTAATTATTAACTTATAAAATTTAATAATAATTAAATTTTATAAGTTAATAATTCCTTCTATCAGTGTATGTATGCTTACGCATACATATGTATATCATTATCATCTTATATTATGGTATAATGTGTTATATGTTAGTGACCAGGCCGTGACTTGAGAGATAGATTATTCGAGGCCCGACTTGGCGTAAATAGACCGGGAGATAATAGCGGGATACTAAGAATAGAAGTAGTCTTAAGCTTTGCATATGGACCGTAACCGATTAACTGTCAATGTACTGTACACTTGGTATTATTGTTATTATAATTATTATTTATTTTTTTTATTTGTTTTTAACACTTGCATTTCTGCGGATTAATTTTATTCGGATGACAAAAAAAATTAATATCTATAAAATTAAAATAAAAATTTTTAAAGCCATAACTTTATTTATTATTATAAATATGGATCGATTTATAAAGTTGATTAATAAATAAAATGTTAATTTGACAGTATTAAATCAATTAAGATTTACAGAGTGTAATTTAATATTTATACGGGTTTAAATAATTAATGCATATAAATATGCGATTTAATTATGATTTATTATTTTAGGTAACGCGATTAGATTACTTTAAATATTACAACAATAATAATGATAAATAAATAAATAAGTAAATAAATAAGAAAGATAAAGACACACGATGAAATAACAACGTGAGGGATAAAAACACTGACGATAAATAGTGACAGTTTGAATTTATTCCTCTTGTACAATTTATACACATATCGTTATTGCATCACAAGTATACACAACACGCAAGGAGTCGGATTATATATATATATATATACACACACTAGTTAATGAATTTAAATACTTTATTTTGTATTTTAACTATTTTTGGCAGACAACTTTTATATTTTACTATTTTACCATTCATATCAAGCTTAGAATGTCAAAAAGGCAAATTAATTTCGACTTTTATTATACTGATTTAAGACTCACTTCCGATTGATTAGATCCGTAATTTTGCCAAAGATCAAAGTTATTAAATTCATTTTGACCTCTTAAGAGATATCTAACTAGTAGTAAACGTATTAGATTTGATTTATATCCTCAGAAGATAACGCTAATCTGTGGATTTAATAGTTTCCTTTGTAGACTTTATTTAATTATCTATATTATTAAGAGAATAAGCAAAATTTAGAAAATATCTCTAGATACATAATTAAGAAATCACCTTGTACCTCGTTAACTATTGATATTTTTTTAAATATAAGCTCATCTTAATGTTACACTCGTCAAAAGCTATCATTTGAATACCTACATGCAATTTTGATATATTTTTCATATATTCATATATATAATATATTAATATATATAAATATATGAAAAATTGATGTGGGTAGTCAAATGAAAGCTCTTAATGAGTGTAACATCAAGATGAGCTTATATCTGGAACAATACCAATAATTAAAAAATTACCTTATATTTTGTGAAATATTGACATTTTTAAGGATATAAGCTCATCTTGATGTTACACTCATTAAGA